CTTTCTGCATTCTTTAGGGCTCTCAGCCTCCTGGCAGGGTACAAGGGAGAGCACTTTCTACCCATTTGCCAGCTGTGCCTCAGTTTCTCCCCTTGCCCTGGGTGAGCTGCTTCCAGGGACAGGAGTAACCCTTTCTGGGCCAGTTGGGAAAGGGCCTGTGGTGGCACCTGGTGTTCTGGAACAAAGCTATCTGTGAGGGCTGGCCCAGGGCCACACGGTTGTGAATGCTGCTCTCTTTGGGCTGCAGAGGGGAGAGGCAGTGAAGACAGGTACTTCAGGAGCAGGAACAGGCTATAGGAGCCCTGGACTGGGAGACTCCGGCCAAGTACAGGGCCCAAACAGAGAAGGGACCCTGGGGTTCTTGTCACAGCTAGGACCAGGCTAGCACAGGCTAGGACAAACCCCCTCCTGAGCCTAACCTGAGAACACACAATGCAAACCATGTGCCTGTATCTTAAGCTCCTTTTTTGGAGAAGAAATAGTATCTAGGGGTATTGAGATGGATGTTCTCAGATTATATTTATTTAGGACAAATAAACTTGTGAATTGTGTGAGGACTGTGAGTTGAGTCTTCTGCTCTCTTTAAGAAGGCATCCCGGGGCGCCTGGGTGGCTCAGTTGGTTAAGTGACTGCCTTCGGCTCAGGTCAAGATCCTGGAGTCCCGGGATCGAGTCCCGCATCAGGCTCCCTGCTCGGCAGGGAGTCTGCTTCTCCCTCTGACCCTCCTCCCTCTCATGCTCTCTGTCTCTCATTCTCTCTCTCTCAAATAAATAAATAAAATCTTAAAAAAAAAAAAAAAAAAGAAGGCATCCCTGCCTGGGGTACGGGCTATACCTGTGGCCAGGGCCCTCTCCCCATGGGTGCACACAGAGGTGCTTACATCACGACACCCTTATGTGAGCTTTTGTTAGGATTACTGGTTATTTGGAAAGCTGAGTTACCCAAGATTGGTGACTCCTAATGAAATGACAAGATGAATCACTCTTGCCCAGGGGTCAGACAAGGACACAGGAGTGAATTCACATGGCAGGAAATGGGCCTGTCACAACATCTGAATGCTGGGATCTTGGTCGCAACTTTCTCACTTTGTGCCTTGCTGGCTGGGGCTCTAGCTTGAACGTTGTGAAGGGGAAGGGATCATCAACAAACTAGCTTCAGATGCGGAGCCTGGGTGGCTCAGTTGGTTAAGTGTCTGCCTTCAGCTCAGGTCATGACCCAGGGTCCTGGGATCGAGTCTTGCATCAGGCTCCCTGCTCAGCGGGGAGTCTGCTTCTCCCTCTCCCGCTCCCCCTGCTTGTGCTCTCTCTCTCTCTCTCTGTCTAATAAATAAAATCTTTTTTATAAAGATTTTATTTATTAGACAGAGAGAGAGAGAGAGACAGCGAGAGAGGGAACACAAGCAGGGGGAGCGGGAGAGGGAGAAGTAGGCTTCCCGCTGAGCAGGGAGCCCGATGTGGGGCTCGATCCCAGGACCCTGGGATCATGACCTGAGCCGAAGGCAGACGCCCAACGATTGAGCCACCCAGGCACCCCTATATACATAAAATCTTAAAAAAAAAAAAAAAAAAAGCTAGCTTCAGTTGATCAAAGAGTCTGATGGAAATTGTTTAGGGGCCCTTGCAGTTTTGGCCAAAACCAGGTTACCTGGTTATGAGTAAAATGTATTTTAAATGTTAAATCGATAATGGTGGGAGGAGTGAAACCATGCTGATGGCAGGAAGACATGAAGTCTGGGCATTTGAGGGCATTTATCCTTGTCTTCCAAAGGCCAGCAGAGGCCCCAGCACACAGAGCAGGTGCTCAATGAGTGGAGACCGTGGATAAGGTGGCTCAGTGCTGTGGTGTTTCAGAGGGGCTACAGGGCCTCAACTGTTCCCTGTGGGCTTCATGGAGGAGGCAGGGCTACAGCCTGTGGAGACTTTGACTGATGGTCAGGGGACAGACGTGGCTTTCCACCTCATTTTGCCACTCCCCGGCTGTGTGACTTTAGGCATGTTACACAACCTCTCTGGGGGTTTCCTCATCTATAAAGTGCAGGTGGTAACTGTGACTTTCATGTAGGGTTGTCGGAGAAAGGCCAGCCACGTGGCAGGAGCTCGGTCAGGAGCTATCAGTAACATGTACGATCACTAATGATTATCACCATGATGTCTGCAGAGCATAGCATTGTCTGGTTCCTACATCCTTCGGCAGACAAGATGTGGAGGCTTGGAGGAGTGCTGGCCTCACCCCTGGATGACCCCTGCCTGTCTTATTCTTGTCACCACTCTTCCTGATCTTGAGGAGTTGATTGTTTTTCCGTAGCTTGAACCCTTTTCTCTGCCCCAAATAAAAGACACCCTCTAGGAGAAGCCAAGCCCATCAGGGTGACCCCCCACCCAACAAGTGGGCAACCATGGAGGCCCTTCAATGCGGTGCCATTTGAAAGTCTGTTTCCCATCTGCCCACATGACATAGTCCTCCTCGTGGATCCAGCTGTGAGCAGGGCTTACCAGGGCCCTTCCCTACAAGGGGCCTACAGTCTGGTTGCACCTTGCTTTTTTCACTCCTTCCAGTTAACACAGTTTGGCGACCATCCAGTTCAGCACAGATAGCATTATCTTGGGCTTCCTAGCAGCTCTGCACCCTTTGGATGGAAACAGAAGAACCTGACTCAAGATAACAAGCAGGAAAGGAAGGTAATGGAAGGCTAGCTCGAAGAACTGATATGAAGCCCAAACCCAGGCTTGGCTACAAGTGGGAACCAGGGAGGCTAGAACTAATGGTAGGAGTGGACTTGGGAAGAGCTGGCTGGGGGGAGCTCTGTGGCCACCCCCAGACACAGGCATGGCCATCAGGGAGGGAGTCCTGTACTCCTCTGCCTCCTTGCTTCACTGTCCACACCTAAAGGCAGGTGCGGGGATGTGACTGATTGAGCTTGCTTTCCCGTGGGGGTCCTGCAGCTCCCTAGCAGGAGGCTGAATATGCCACCAAGGTGCAAGAGGGACCAGGGCTTTTGCCAAGAGAGGAATCTCCCATCATCCCCCAGAGCCAGGCTGTAGAAGATGTTTGAAGGTCCTGGTGATACTATTATTTCTTCTTCATCCTCTCCTCTCCCCTCCCCAGATTATCCTCTCTGATCCTGCCCTCTACACACACTGCTGAGCCACGCCTCACCACCTCCAGCTTCTTCCCCTCACCCAAGGACCAATTTCAGCTTTCCCTGGTCTCATATGGACTTGCCCTGTTTAAAGATGTCATCCTCATGGGACTGCCGGTATACCAGAAGTCCTGACCTTAGCAATCCCTTCTTGTTGTGAGGATGCTCTCCAGAAGGCTCCAGAAGGCTCCAGAGAAAGGCACCCATGTTCCCTGTGAGGAGGAGCTGCTCTCAGGCCAGATCATGTGAGGGGCACGTGCAAGGAACCTCACAGTTCCTTGACATCTTATTTAATCTAACTTCATACCTGGATCCCTGGGGGTGTAGGGAAATCCCATCTCAGCCAGATTTGAGGGCTCCCCACCCACCCCTAGGATCGCACAGGCAGGGAGTAGGGCTTACAAGAGCAGGCCTCTCGTGTCCATGGCCTCATGGTGGCTGCAGACACCCACAGTGACAAGCATCCATAGGCCTTAACTCTACCCAGGCCCTAGGGAAAGGTAAGGGTTGGGGAAAGGTCACAGCCTCTCCAGAGGTCTCCCTCTCTGCCCTCTGGAGCCCTGCCACCTCTTTGTGGTGCTCCCAGGGGACCCTCTGATCACTCATCCCTCCCTAGTCTTGGGGACCCTCCTCTCTCTGCCTCTCCTTCCCCTACCATAGTCCCCTGAAGGAACTGGAAGCAAAATCCAGAGTGTGTTCTCAGGTAGCCTCTGGATTTGAGGCAAAGAAGCACAAAGGCCTCATGACCCTGCTTAGAATAATGGGGGCAGGGGTGGATGGATAAGTATGGGCAGAACAAAGAGAAAATATCTCCAGTAATCACTGTCATTCTGGGATAAAAGAGACTTCCTGCCCATTCTGTGTGTTCATTCATGGGTTTAATCCACAAATATTTATTGAGAGCCTCTAATGTTCCAGGTGCTGGGCTAGACACTGGAGACTCCCCGCCCCCCCCCGCCCCCCCGCCGTAAACCAGAGTGACATGGCCCTGGGATACCTACAGTGAATAGAGAGAGACCGATTATAAACAAGCCAGCAAATAACAAGCTAAATGATCAAATAATAAGAGAGTACCCATGGGTGAGGAGAGCTCACTTAGAGGATGGTGGGAGAAAGGGACTGCGAAGTGGGTGCCTTACCCCTGCACACCTCCCTGACTTGGGCTACATGTTTTTAGTCTGAAATGCCCAGATTAACCCATCATGACTCACCTCAAACATCACCTCTGTTCCCAGGATCTAGCCCTGCCCTTTTCTAGAAGAATGGTTCTAGTCTCTGTGCACATGCGTTGTGTGGTCCTTGCCTGTGGGTCTTCCTCCTACACCAGAAAGCCCTTCAGAACAGGACTGAGGCCCCTGCTTCTTGCAGCCTGTGCACCCAGCCCAGCACATGGCCTGGGGCAGGCCAACAGCATGGAATGAATAATGCAGTGAGAGAATGCAGGGAACCTGCAGTTAGGGGACCATAGGGCTTCCCACCTGCCTGAGCACTCTGCCCTGGGGATAGGGGTGCCTGCGCCGCTGCTCGGGAGACCCTGGTCTTCTGTCTCCTCTCTGGTTGCCTAGTCATGGGGATTTCCCATTCTTCTCCCCTCCACTCTCCAGAGGAAGGCTGGAGAGAAGTTAGCAGGTGGACAAGTTGGAGAAAGGCATCTAGGAAAAGGGAACTGCGTAGTACAAAGGCAGAGATGTGTGAAAGATGGAGCTTGAGGTTCTGCTTTATTAGACTCGAAAGCAAGACAAATGGCAGTTGGGGGAGTCAGGCATATTCCTGAGGGTGCTCAACACGGGGAGGGGCAGGTAGAACCCCTCTGCGGGGCGAGAGGGGCTCCTGTGAGTCCCACTTCCTGCTGGCCCCCACTTGTCTCCTGTGCCTGACTTACCTCGGACGGTAATTAGCAATTACAGTTCTGTCTGTCTCCTAGAATGAGCCGGAGCCCTTGGGACCAAGAGACCTGGCTTAGATGTCTTTGTGTCCCCATGGCACTCCGCACGATGACTTCAGAAAGGAGATAGTTTATAAAATGTTTGATAAATGAAAGAACGAGTCCCCTGAAAGGCAGGGATGTTCACTCTGATTTCGCAGAGGAGGTAGCTGAGCCAGGCACTGGAACTACAACCCCCCACCCCCTGCCCCACTGTCTTCCTGGAGCTGTCCAGAGGAAGTAAAATGTGGGGCTGAGATGGCCCACCGATGGAGTGCCCACGGGCACCCTGCCCTCAGGGGGGCTGCCCGGGGGAGGGTTGGCTAGGCATGATTCATCTTTCCTGAGGTCCTGGCATATTTTGCCTACCTCCACAGGGCCAAGGGTCATGTTCCGAGGCCCCCAATCCCAGCATAAGTAGGCCCTCCCCATCCCCAAGCACCATGAACGGAAGACCACTAGGTGGCACTAAGTGGTCAGTTAGTCCCTTCCTAGAGACAGGGCAGGTCCTTTGTCTCCTCGCTGTGCCTGAGCTGGGCTCCCGGGCACCTCAGGAGCTGGGTTGCCCAGTAGGTGTAGGGAGGAGAGGTTCCTTTGCTGAGAAGCTTGCACTGGGTATGTGTGGAGGACCTCATGGTTTGTGTTCATGAGCCCTCTTGTTCGTTTTTCACAATAACTCTGATAGGACAATGGGACATTATCCCCACCTTAGTGGAGAGAGAACGAATTTCTTGAAAGGTTAGATGACTTGGCCAAACCCACCCTGCAAGCTGGGTCTGGAACTCAAGTCCCAGCTACAGGGAGGGTCCTGGGGTTTTTGCAAAGTCAGCAGAGGGCCCTGAGCCTCCAAGTGGCTCCGGCACTTCCCATGTGACCTTGAACAAGCTGCTGAAATCCTCAGCCCTAGTTTCATCATTAGTGAAGTGAGTCTAAGAGCGACCAACGGAGTTAGGACAAGTAAAGAGCTGGGGTGGAGGCAGGCAGGGGTGAGCCCCTCATGGTTAGCTCCTATTGTCTCCATGACACTTACTCTAAGTGGCCACCCTGTACTGACCCCGTTGCCCTCCCTGCCTCTGGTGGCCCAGAGGATAACAAAGAGAATTAACAGGATCCAGAGTAAACGAAAATTTCTCTTTCAGTCTTCCCTCCTAGAGGACCCAGGCTGTGCCTACCCACTGCGAGGAAGGGGAGAATGAAGGCCCCCCACCTTCCCCCAAGACACATAAGGTCCCAGCCCTAGTCGGTGAGTACATTTGTCAGAACTGGTCCTCTTCTTTCCTCTGTCCCTCTTCTTTTTTATTTTTATTTTTTTTTAAGTAGTTTCCATGCCCAAAATGAGGCTTGAACTCACAACCCTGAGATCAAGAGTCCCATGCTCTACCAACTGAGCCAGCCAGGCACCCCCTCCATTCCTCCTCTTTTTTTTTTTTTTTAAGATTTTTTAAATTTATTTATTTGAGAGAGAGAGCGCAAGAGGGGGTAGGGTTAGAGGGAGAAGTAGACTCCCTGCCGAGCAGGGAGCCCAATGCGGGACTCGATCCCGGGACTCCGGGATCATGACCTGAGCCGAAGGCAGTCGCTTAACCAACTGAGCCACCCAGGCGCCCTCCATTCCTCCTCTTAACAGAGCTTTGACAACCCTTTGCGTGGGATCTTCAGACTGAGATTACCGAGGAAGAGACAGGCTTACAGAAGGTGGGCAGCGCACAGTCCCTCAGCTGTAAGTGGCAGAGCTAGGATGGGCATAAGGTCTCACCCTGGTATTCAGAGCCTTTGAAAAAAGAGCAAGCATGGGTGCTTCTCAGCCCCTAGCTTTGTCCCAGAAACCCCACACTCAAGACTCCCATTTCTTTTTTTTTCTCCCCCCCCCCCCCGTTTTTTTAAGAGAGAGAGAGAGCGCGTGTGTGCGCATAAGCAGGGGGAGCAGCAGAGGGAGAGGGAGAAGCAGGCTCCCCGCTGAGCAAGGAGCCCAAGGTGGGGCTCCATCCCAGAACCCTGGGATCACGACCTGAGCTGAGGCAGACACTTAAGCAATTGAGCCACCAGGCATCCCTTCTTTAAGATTCCAAAAGCCTCACCTGCTGAGATAGAACCAGCTGGGAGGGGCCAAGATGGAAGGGGAAGGGCTTGGAAGGAGACTCTGAATAGGGACATGAACTCCGGGCGGTGCCAGACTGGCCCTGCAGGGAGGGGGCTGACTGCTACTCCACCTCCCACTCCTCAGATTCTCACTCCCTTGACTCTGGCTCCTTCCTCGCCAGGAATGGCCCTTAATTTCCTCTCCTGCCAGTATTGGGTTCAGTAAGCAGAGTCCCAGCTCACCTGGAAGGTGTGGAGTGAGAAGGGTGTCCAGTTACATGCTGGGGCTGGGAGGGCAGGCAGGGGCAACCTGGGGGCAGGAGCCAAAGGCCTGGGAACTGATGGTGGGAGCAGGTGTGTGTGGGGGACCCAAGACACCCCCACCCTGTGGGCACCCTCCCATCCCCGCCATAGGGGACCCTGTCTTCTGGGCTCAATGCCTTCCTGAACTCCTTCTCCTAGCTCCTGGGGACTGTTATGGAAAGACCGGCATCCGGCATCTGGTAGCTAATGCTTCCCTCCTAGAGGACCCAGGCTGTGGGTTCCCTGAGCTGGGTCTCAGTTTCCTTAGTCTCAGAATGGGGGTAGGGGGGGAATAAGCCCTGTTGGACCGATGCCCTGCAGCCTGGGATTGTGTCCGTAAACTAGAAGGGCTCTGCACACCCCTGAGGAGGTCCTTCTCTTTCTTTTTTTTCTCTCCACCCAGGGTGGCCTCCTCCCCCCACCCTTCCCCCTGGGCCCTGGCACAGCACTCCATGCCTATTTAAGGCAAATCTCCTGATCTCCTTTTAAATAACATTCGCTTCTTGTTGTGGAGAAGACAAGCAAGGCCTGAGCTTAGGGAAAGGGGAGGGGAGCCCCAGACAGCCCATCGGAGAGTAGGGGGAAGGGGATAAGGGGGTGAAGCAGGTTTGGGAAGGTCCTTGCCCCACCCCCACTCCCAGCCTCCCATTTGGTCCCCTTACTGAACAGGCCTTCAATTGGCTCAAACCCCTTTAGAGGGGCTGGGGCACTCCCAGAATGCTTCATGCAGCCCCTTACAGGCAGTGGGGGTGGGGAGATGAGGAATAATGCCAGTCCCAGGGCCTGGGATGGGTGCATGCTTGGGTGAAGAAGGAGCACAACCAGGGTGACCAGTAAGGGGAGTGGGAGGGTCTGGGGTCTGATCTCCACAGCTTGCCCACTGTGAAGGATGAAACACAAACGTTCTTTGGTTCTAGAATCTGAGGCTCAGAGAGTCCAGGAGACCTTCCTGGGGCCACACAGCTAATGAGTAGAAGGATCTGAAATACAAGCCTGGCCTCGCTCAAATTTAATGCTTTCTCCCCCTTCATGCCAGGTGTCCTTGTGCCTGGGGCTGTATGTGACACCTGACAGTGACTCTTATCAGAAGCAATGTGTCATTGAAAGCCCCCTGCACACACCCTCCCTCTGCCTGCCTAGCTCCCAGGTGGGAGGCCCTGATTCCTTCCCTTCTGCCTCCTTCTTCTTTCCTCTAGGCCCACCACTCCTTTCCTTCCCCTTCTCCTGAGTTCCTGGCCTAGGCCCTCTGGCCTAGCCCAGAACAGCTCACCTTGACTTGGTTCATACACTGAGAAAATTACAGGCGGAAGGTGGCATGTCCCACACCCCTCCAGAGGAGCCAGGCCGGGCACCCTTCCCACTGCGAGACCCCTACAGGCCCCTTCCCACAGCTCAGTTCCTCCCCCTAAGATCTGAGGCCACCCTCTCCTGCTTCCTTCCCTCCCCTCTGCCTAGTCTCTCCCCCAGGTAGCCATCTCCCCGGCCTCCCATCTCAGGCAGGGCTAATGTCCCTGCGGTCCTCTCATGACTGAGATGCCCTCTCTAGGGTTCAAAACGAGAGGGTCAGGGATCCTTTACAGATCATGTTGCCTCCTCGGGACCAGACACTCACTCCTTAGGCATGTGAGCTCCAGCAGAACCAGCCCCAACCCGTGTCAGTGTCAGGCTGAACTGGGGGCTGGGGCACCAGAACAAGAAGCCCTAGCCTTTCTCTGGATACTTAGGGCATAAAGGGGTGTTAGCAGTCAGCTGGCCTGATGCCTCAATTCACAGATAGGAGCTAACTGGGACCCAGGGAATGAGAGGGGAGGCTCTGGGGTCCCACAGTGAGACAGAAGCTAAGTTGGATCATACTGGGACCCTTGATAACCCCAGGTAAGGGCTTGATCCCTGGGGGAGGGTGGTCTATTATAGGAGAAAACGTGGCTCCATATTTCATGGGGGTGTCCTTGAGCTTCTAGGGTTTTGTTTTGTTTTGTTTTTTAGTGTGGCTCTACTACTTTAAAAACTTTATTTTCATTTTTTTTAAAAGATTTTATTTATTTATTTGACAGAGAGACAGCGAGAGAGGGAACACAAGTGGGGGGGGAGTGGGAGAGGGAGAAGCAGGCTTCCCGCGGAGCAGGGAGCCCAATGTGGGGCTGGATCCCAGGACTCTGGGATCATGATCTGAGGCGAAGGCAGATGCTTAACGACTGAGCCACTCAGGCGCCCCTTAAAAACTTTTTAAAAGTAAACTCTATGCTCAATGTGGGGCTCAAACTCATGACCTCAAGAGTTGTATGCCCTAGTGACTGAGCCAGCCAGGCGCTCCAGTGTGGCTCTATTATTAACCTCTTGTGTGTCCTTAGGTAAGCCCTTTTCCCTCCTTGGGCCGCAGTTTCCTTGTATAAAACAGGTGGCTTGGGTAGATGATCTCTGAGACCCCTTCCCATTCAGACCTCCTGCACCTTCCATCAGCCCAGCCCCATCCCCCCAGGCCTCTATTTCCCAGCTCTTGCCCTGGTCCAGACCTCCCTCATAGCCCATTGAGATTGCTCCAACAGTCTCTGCACTGTCTCCGGCCTCCACTCTTCCCCTCCACCCCACACACTGCCCAGGTAACGTCCCGAGGCTTTAGGAACCTCCTGTGGTCCCCCATGGCCTCCCTTAGAATGACCCACCTCATCATCTGGCATTCAGCACATCCTGCCTGCAGTCTTGGACCCTGTGCTCGGTTTCGTCATTTGCCAAGTGGCACTAATAACCCCTCACTAGTAGGGCCGTGGTGTAGACATGCTGGGATACATGTGAAGAGCCTGGGAAAGGCTGGATGGCCTGACCAGCACTCTTGGCTTCTCTGTGCTAGAAAGGCTGCCCATCCCACCACCACTCTCCTTCATCCAAATTGGCAAGGTCTTCGAAGCTGGTTCCAGTTTCACCCCCTCTTAGAAAGGCTAGCCTCCCAGTGGCCCCATCAGAGGTGACCTCGCCTGTGTGGAGCTCCTGCAGGGCTGGACTCTACTGGCCTGTCTCCACCTGCAGCTCCCGCCATCCCAGGGAGAAGGTATAACTGGGGGCCTCTAGAGAGCAGGCTGGCAGGACACTTGCTGAGACAATAGCTGGGTCTGTGGGCTCCTGCCCACACCTGATTTCATCCCCTAGGGCAGTGTTTTTGACAGGGGATTATCTTTGACCCTCAGAGACATCCTTACTGCCAGCTCTAAATTAAAGACTCCTAGCTAGGGGCGCCTGGGTGGCTCAGTCATTAAGCGTCTGCCTTCGGCTCGGGTCATGATCCCAGGGTCCTGGGATTGAGCCCTGCATCGGGCTCCCTGCTCAGTGGGGAGTCTGCTTCTCCCTCTCCCACTCCCCTTGCTTGTGTTCCCTCTCTCGCTGTGTCTCTCTATGTCAAATAAATAAATAAAATCTTTAAAAATAAATAAATAAAAATAAAAAAAATAGACTCCTAGCTAGGCCTCACAGCAGGCTTTCAGCTGGAGGTTTTAGACCATGTCTTGCCCTCTTCTGGTGACTGACCAAGTGGATTCTCAGAAACCTTCCCAAAGACCCAGGAAGGAATAGCCAGCAGGAAATATAAGTTATTAGAAGAGACATCTAAGGGGAGAGAAATCAGAACGTAGACACTTGGAGACTTCTCATTCTGGGGTCTAAACACTCTCAGCCACTTACTAATTATAGGGCCTTGGGGAGATTACTTAATGTCTCTGAGCCTCAGCTTCCTCATTAGTAAAATGGGGACAATAATATCTCATCCTATGACAAAAGAATTAAGTGATCCATGCAGAATGCTTAGCTCATGGCCTGGTACCTCATAAATGTTCAAAAAATGGTAACTATAATCCTTGTTGAAGACCTGGGTGGCTCAGTCAGTTAATCATCTGCCTTCGGCTCAGGTCATGATCCCAGGGTCCCAGGATGGAGCCAGTTGGGCTCTTTGCTCATCGAGGAGTCTGCTTCTCCCTCTCCCTCTGCTCTTCCCCTCAGCTCACATGCTTGTGTGTGGGCTCTCTCTCAAATAATAAAAAAAAAAATCTTAAAAAAAAACCAAAACAGGGCGCCTGGGTGGCTCAGTTGGTTAAGCGACTGCCTTCGGCTCAGGTCACGATCCTGGAGTCCCGGAATCGAGTCCCGCATCGGGCTCCCTGCTCAGCGGGGAGTCTGCTTCTCCCTCTGACCCTCCCCCCTCTCATGTGCTTGCTCTCTCTCATTCTCTCTCTCTCAAATAAATAAATAAAATCTTTAAAAAAACAAAAACATATGGGGGTGTCTGGGTGGCTCAGTCAGTTGAATGTCCAACTCCTCGAGGTCCTGAGATTGAGCCCCACGTTAGGCTCCACGCTCAGTGCAGAGTCTGCTTGTCCCTCTCCCTCCCCCTGCTTGCTCTCGCTCTCTCACAAATAGATAAAATCCTCAAACAAACCAACAAACAAACCAACCCAGATGGATCAAGGCCCCCAGCTGAGGCAGGAAGGGCTGTTGGGAAGCAGGAAGGCGCTGAGGCACAGGCTGCTCAGCCAGAGGTAGGCAGGTGGTTAGTAGCTAGAATAAAAACACAAAGTCTCTCAGGGCGCCTGGGTGGCTCAGTCGTTAAGCGTCTGCCTTCGGCTCGGGTCATGATCCCAGGGTCCTGGGATCGAGCCCCACATCGGGCTCCCTGCTCGGTGGGAAGCCTGCTTCTCCCTCTTCCTCTCCCCCTGCTTGTGTTCCCTCTTTCGCTGTGTCTCTCTCTGTCAAATAAATAAATAAAAATCTTTAAAAAAAAAACAAACACACAAAGTCCCAAGCCTGGTGCTAAACAGTCTACACACACTATTTCATTTAAACCTCAGGCTCTCCTTTTGTCAAAAGTAGGGCTTCAGAACAGAAGTTTCCTGAGGCCTTGCCAGTTCAGTGAGCACTTGACTTCGGTTTACAGAGGTTTTCACTGTACAGAGTACTTTTGACTTTATAGGGCCAACTCTGTGAGTGTTCTGATAGTTGTCAGTGGTCACACAACCAGATCTGGGACTCGAACCAGGGAGGACGGCTCCATCTTTCTGCAGGGCCCGGTGGCACACGGCTCTGAGAGGCGTGGGTGAGACCTGAAGCCCCACCAGGGGCCTAGGGAGGAGCATGGCCCTTGAAGGCAGCCACGTCATGGAAGCTTGGCTCTGGCTCCTGCCCAGCGTCCGGTTCTGTCGGGCTGTGCCGGGGCCCAGAGGCCTGGGTCTGGAACTCATCAGCCCCACCTGTCAGCCCTCCCCTGGCCGGCACCCGGGGGCCTTCAGTTATCACTAAGGAGAGTGTGGCCTCAGTCCAGGGGCCCTGCATCCCTTCCCTGCTGGGGACCTCAGGCAGGGAGCTGTGCTCCCATAGCCAAGCAACCCGGTTTGACCGAGCTCTGTTATATGACAGGTACCATGAAATATACAAAGACCTCAGTCATTCAATAAATATTCCTTGAACACCTATAGTGTGCCTGGCCCTGAGCTGGCTCCAGCGAATCTGACAGAAATTCCTGCCTCCACTCTAGTAAAAGAACTTGTAAAGGAAAGCAGAAGTGTGATGGGAAATAAAAAAGAGAGCGATTCACTTTACACAGAGTAGTCAGATTAGGCCTCTGAGCTGAGAGAGGGAAGGACAGCTAAACAGAGCAGTCCAGACAGAGGAAAGGGCCCACACCAAGGCCCTGAGAGAGGAAAATCTGGAGTGTCTGGAGAGCCACAGACCACTGCGAGGGAGGCCTCAGCAAGCTCTCTCCCAGTAAGTGCCCACTGGACAAATGAACAAACCATCACGAGAATTTCTGCTTCCAGCTGAGATGGAGTAACCAGGACTGGATTTATGTCCCCACCTAAGATGACTAAAATACCCCCCAAAATATATGAAACAATGGTTCTCAAGACACTGGACACCAGACAATGAAAAGCAGTGACTCCTGAGAGTCAGGAAACCAGTGAGGAGAGCCCTACGGATGCCCCACTTTACTTCCTGAAGAACGTTTCCAGACCAGAGCATAGGGAGAGGAGAGCAGGTGGGGTCTGGCATTCTCCCTGCACTGACAAGATGAAGTCAGAAGTCTGGGGACACAAAGCGGAGAACCAAAAAAGAACGAGTTGCACCCAGAGTGAATTCTGGAGCACTACAGACTGTAGGTCTTCAGTCATTCAGCTTGGTGCCTGCATGTGAAGATACTACTAGAAAGCACGGTTAGGGGGCGCGTGGGTGGCTCAGTCGTTAAGCGTCTGCCTTCGGCTCAGGTCATGATCCCAGGGTCCTGGAATCGAGCCCCGCATTGGGCTCCCTGCTCTGCGGGAAGCCTGCTTCTCCCTCTCCCACTCCCCCTGCTTGTGTTCCCTCTCTTGCTGTGTCTCTCTCTGTCAAATAAATAAATAAAATCTTAAAAAAAAAAAAAGCACGGTTAGAATCAACCAATACGATTAGAGAGATTAATCCTTGGAGCTCACACAAGGCTGAGAATAGTGCTGGCTCCCACAAACCAGAGTGGAAACCTCACAATTAATGGGGCATTGAGTGGAGCACTCACCAGACCTTTTGACTCAGAAGTGGGTGAAAACAAAACACCGCTCTGGCCCCATCTAACAAAAGCAAGATTTGAAAAAGGACCAAACTGTTTCCAAGTGCTTTTGCATCCCAGAACAAAACTGAAGAATACTGATAAGAATACAAAAATGTCCAGCATCTAACAAAATAAAATTCACGATGTCTGGCAACTGATAAAAATTTGCATGTATACAAAGAAACGGGAAAGTATGACCCATAATGAAAAGAAAATACTGATCAGTTGAAACCTACCCAGAAGTTACCCAGATGAGAGAATTAGGAGACAGACATTAAAACAGTTATTATAACTATGTTCCATATGTGCAAGAAGATAAAGCAAAGGCTGACCATGTTAAGTAGAGAAATAGAAGATATTTTTTAATAGACCCAAATTGGATTTCTAAAGCTGAAAACTATAATGTCTGATATAAAAAATACACTCGATGGATTAATGGAACATTAGATGTGGCAGAAGACTAGTGAACTTGAATACATAGTAACAGAAACTATCCCAAATGAAATACACAAAGAAAAAAGGCTTCAAATTAATAAGAACATGGCATTGGGAGTCATGTGACCTAATATATTTGTGTAACTAGAGTCCCCCAAAGAGGGAAGAGGACAAGAAAAAGAAATACTTGAAGGAAAAGGAAAAAAAGTAACTGAAAAACTTTTAAATTTGATGAAAATTTTGATTGAAAAATTTGATAAATCCATAGATCTCAGATACTTAGTGAACCCCAACCACAATCACATAAAAAAACTATACCAAGCTCTCCTCCCAGCTCAACAGACAGCTACATCTTCTTGTGCAGGGCCAGCTGGGTCCCTGGGACACAATGGTAAAGATTGGGGTAAATGGATTTGGCCATATTGGATACCTGGTCATCAGGGCTACTTTTTTTTTTTTTTTGGTCAGAGAAAGAGAGAACACAAGCAGAGGGAGCCAAAGGCAGAGGGAGAGGCAGGCTCCCCACTGAGCAAGGAGCCCAATGTGGGACTCGATCCCAGGACCCTGGGATCATGCATGACCTGAGCCGAAGGCAGACGCTTAACCGACTGAGCCACCCAGGCATTCCTTAAGGTTTTATTTTTAAGTAATCTCTACACTCAATGTGGGGTTTGAATTTACAACCCTGAGATTAAGAGTTGCATGCTCTACCAACTGTGCCAGCCAGGGCCCTAAGGGCAGTAATGTTACCATCAATGACCCCTTCATTGATCTCAACTATGTGGTCTACATGCTCCAGTAAGATTACAGACGTGGCAAGTTCAATGGCACAGTCAAAGCTAAGAATGGGCATCAAGGGAAAGCCCATTTCCATGTTCCAGGAGTGAGATCCCACCAATATCAAATGGGGTGATGCTGGTGCTGAGTATGTAGAGTCCACTAGTGTCTTTACTACCTTGGAGAAGGCTAGGGCTCACTTGAAGGTAGAATCCAAAGGGTCACCATCTCTGCCCCTTCTGTTGATGCCCTCATGTTTGTGATGGGCATGAACCATGGGAACTATGACAACTCCCTCAAGACCCTCAAATGCTTCCTGCACCACCAGCTGCTTGGCCCATCCTGGCCAATGTCATCCATGACAACCTTAGTGTCAGGGAGGGACTCATGACCACAATCCATGCCATCACTGCCACCCAGAAGACTGTGGATGACCTCTCTGGTAAGCTGTGGCATGATGGCCATGGGCTGCCCAGAACATCATCCCTGCTTCTACTGGCACTGCCAAAGCTGAAGGCAAGGTAATTCCTGAGCTATATGGGAAGCTCACAAACATGGTCTTCCACGTCTCCACTCTCAATTTGTCAGCAGGATATGACCTGCCGCCTGGAGAAAGCTGCCATATCTGACGACATCAAGAAGGTGGTGAAACAGGCATTGGAGGGCCCCCTCAAGGGCATCCTGGGCTGCACTGAGGACCAGGTTTGTCCTGCAACTTTAATAGGGATACCCTCTCTTCCACCTTGGATGCTGGGGCTTGTGTTGCCCTCAGTGATCACTTTGTCAAGCTCATTTCCTGGTAGAACAGTGAATTTCACTATAGCAATAGGGTGGTAGACCTTAGGGCCCACATGGCCTCCAAGGAGTAAGAGTCTCCTAGACCAACAGCCCCAGCAAGAACACAAGAGAGAGACCCTCAGCTGCTTGAGAGGGTTTACCCCAACTCAACTTCCCAATACACTGAGATTCTATACAGTTTCCATCCCAGAATCCCTGAAGAGGGGGAGGGGCTTAGGGAACCTTCCATATCATGTACACCAATAAAATACAGTGGACCCAGCCCCCTCCCCTCCATAAAACCTATACCAAGGTATATCATAAGTAGTTTTTAAAATGTGATAAAGGGAAAGATTTAGAAGTAGCTAGAGTGGGGCACCTGGGTGGCTCAGTCGATTAAGTATCTGACTCTTGACCTCAGCTCAGGTCTTGATCTCAGGATCATGAGTTCAAGCCCTGTGTTGGGCTCCATGCTGGCCATGGAGCTTACTTAAAAATAAAAAATAAATAAATAAATAAAAGCAGCCAGACATATTACATACAAACAAAAATAATGCTAACAGGTTTTTTTGTCAGAAAGCATGCAAGGAAGAGGACAGTGGAGCCACATCTTTAAAATACAGAAAGAGAGGTGCCTGGCTGGATCAGTCGTGAGTTCAAACCCCATTTTGGGTGTAGAGATTACTTAAATAAATGAATAAATAAAATTTTAAAAAATAAAAATAAAGTACAGAAAGAAAAAAAAATACAACATCAACCTAAAATGTTTACCTAGGTTAAAAAAAAAATCTTTATGTAGGTAAAAAATGTTTACCTAGGTAAAAAAAAAAAACCTTTCAAAAATAAAAATGAAAGTGAGACTACATGGGATGAAATTAGAAATTAATGACAAAAGGAAATTTGGAAAATTCACAGACATGTGGAAATTAAGCAACAACTCTGAAATAAGCCATGGTCCAAAAAAGAAATCACAAGGGAAGTAGAAAATACTTTGAAATAAATTAAAATCCTGTACCAAAGCTTATGGGATGCAGCTAAAGCAGTGCTTAGATGGCAATATATAGCTGTCCAATTTAGTAAGTTTTGCCATAGGCATACATTTGTGAAACCATCATCACATTCAAGATAATGAACATATCCATCCCCCACAAAAGTTTCCTCCTGCCCCCCTTTAATCCTTCCAGCTCCCCACTGACTCTCAGCCCAGGCAGCCACTTTCAGTTACTATAGACTAGTTCGCATTTATAGAATTTTATATAAATGGAGCCATATTCTTTTTTTTTTTTTAAGATTTTATTTATTTATTTGAGAGAGAGAATGAGAGAGAGAGAGCATGAGAGGGGGGAGGGTCAGAGGGAGAAGCAGACTCCCTGCCGAGCAGGGAGCCCGATGCGGGACTCGATCCCGGGACTCCAGGATCATGACCTGAGCCGAAGGCAGTCGCCCAACCAACTGAGCCACCCAGGTGCCCTAAATGGAGCCATATTCTTTAAATATTTTGTAGAATTCATCACTGAAACTATCTGAGGCTATGGGTAATTTCTTAAATTAATGCTTCAATCCCAGGGCACCTGGATGGCTCAGTCGGTAGAGCATGCAACTTTTTGTCTCAGGGTTGTAAGTTCAAGCCTCACATTGGGTATAGAGATTACTTAAAAGTACTCGGAGATGCTGAATTGACTCCCTGTCAATCACAGATCCAAATGTAAATTCTCAGGGAAAGACCCTATTGGCCCACTTGGATTAAGGACTCCACGGTGCCTCAAGGTATGTGTTCAGGGGGCAGAGCCACGCAGGATGAACCTGACTGGTCTTCCTGCAGAGGGAGAACAGGACAAGTGTTAGGAAAGTGCTTGGTGGACAGACCACAAGAGGAGTGCCAAGAGAAACGACCAACACATTAACTGGAACTCAGGAGACCTGGCATGTTCTGTACTCAGAATTGTGCCTCTTGATGGGGGCAGCATCTATTTTTGTAATGTTCAGCTGAGCAGCAGTGGGAAATCAGTGGAGGAAGAAATCTCTTCCAACTGGGCAGTCCAAGGAAGGCTTCACGGAAGAGGTGCCAATGATACCAGCTCTGTAAAAAAAGGTACGCTCAGCATTTGTGTGACCTTTAAAGTTTAATAGTGCTTTCATAGCCTCTCTTTGCAATGTAGACCTACCTTCTCAACCTCTCCCCTGGGATTGGCATTATTCTATATCCCATTGCACAGATGGGGAAATGGCCAATGAGAGACATTGACTGACTTGCCCACGTTCACAGAGCTTGACAGAGCAAGATGTGACCTCTAGTGTTTAGACGCCAGAGCCCTGGCTTGCTCCCTCTCCAAGGGTGACTTCAAACGGAGTGTGGGGAGAGGGGCTTGGTTGGTGAGTGCTTAGCAGGGACTGAGAAGGGAAAAGAGCTCAGGTAGCATCTCTGAGCTCCTCTGCAGAAGATGCCCTGCCCCCTGCTCTGGCTCCAGATACCCAGAGACCACCTTTGAGCTGTGCTGCAGACTCAGACCAGTTTCCGCCCCACCCTTCTGACCCCTTATCCTGCAGCTCCAACACCTTGGGAGATCTTAGACTCAAAATGTGAACTCATTAGAGTCCTGCAGAGAGCCAAAGAAACCTCAGGACCCACCCCAGCCACCTGAGGATAATCAACACTAACAATCAAAAGCCTCGGCCACATACACATACAGTACTGATTTCATTTTCATAAACGTTTCAGGGTAGGTACTGCTCCTATCCCCATTTCACACTGGTGGGAAACTGAGACTTAAATGACAGTTTATTCATTGTCCCAGATCACATAGCTGATAAGTGGTGGATCCAAGTGTGTCTGATGACAAATGAACTAAAATCATCCTGCTAAATTGTTCCCTCTTCTCAGTTTGCCTATTTCTATCGGCGGCACCAGGCCTGACACCCTGCCATTTCTCCTGGTTTCGGTGTCTCAGGACAGCCTGCAACTCTGAAAGAGCTGGGGGCTCAGGACGGGTGGCAGACAGGCCATCTGCACTGACATGGGGGTGGGCAACATGGACGACGTACCTGCTTTGTCCGCCAACCATGGATTTAATGTCACTCCTTTTTTTTTTTTTTAAGATTTTATTTTTAAGTAATCTCTACACCCAACGTGGGGCTCGAACTCACAACCCCAAGGTCAAGAGTCACACACTCTACCAACTGAGCCAGCCAGGCACCCCTGTTGCTTCTACTTTTAACCCCAACTTCGTAAGAGTTAAATTTAATTGCCAGATTGTATGTCCTGGAGTTTAAGAGCAAGGAGGGTTCTAGTCCTGCCCTGGCTTCCCCACTTTCCTGCTGTGTGATCTTGGGGCAGCTTCTAAACTTCTCTGAGCCACAGTGGCCTCATCTGGAACAGGGATAACAACCCCAATCTCTTGGGTTAGAATGTTGAGGGGAGATGGGTTTCACTAGAGATGGACAAGGCTCAGGTTGCTTTAAGCAGCGCAACACTTAGTCCATCCATCCCTCTAACTGAAGCTACGGTACTTCAAAACATTTAAAAAATATACTCAACTTTGTCAGATGGTTAAATCTTTTTAAGTAATCTCTATACCCAATTTTGGGCTCCAAGTCACGATCCCAAGGTCAAGAGTCAAATGCTCCACCAACTGAGCTAGTCAGGTGCTCTGATGGTTAAATCTTTTTGATGCCTGCTTAGGTTTATTTATTTTGCCTGAAATGTTCTTCCAGTTTAAGTCCACACGTGAGCCTCCATGAGCCCCCAGACCCAACAGCCTGTAGAAACAGCTAAGCCGGTGTCTCACTGCCCGCTGTGAGCCTTTCACATGCTAACATGCATTGTGGGCCTCCCAGAAGTGTTAACGGTGGAAAGGGAGCAATGGAACCTCCCAAATTTGCTTCCTGCAGCACCTACCAATATCTCCTGAGAAGGCAGCTACTGCCTACCATTCACATTGGGTAGGCTTTTCCTTAATCTGTCCCCAGCTCCAGCCTCCCATTTCCAGCCCAGGAGACAAATGTCCTATCAAATCTGGCTTTCTTCTCTGTCCTGCCTCTGGTGCCCTCCACCCAGGCCTCCTACTCCCTCCTGCTCTCCTCCTACAAAGCTCTGTGAGGCCCAGTGCTTGTCTCTTACTCTACTGTAAGGCCCTACAGTTGTCACCTCTCGAGACCCTTGGTCTAGCTCCCGCCAGGGCCCTAACCACTCATGGACCCAATTCTCCTTCTTGCCTTCCTCCTGAGAGTTCTTCTCTGTTCACCTGACGCTCCAGCCAAACCAGGCCCTCCACACTCAGAGTTTTCCTACACCCATGTCCTTTCCTCTGCCTGGCCCATCTTCAGGGTCTGGCTCTCACACCGTGGCCTCCCAGGGGCCTTCCCCCCCGAGTCTGGCTGAAGGCCACAAGTGGCTTCTCATTCTGTTTGTGCATAGTTCTTTGTTCTTGAGGTTGCTTCATCACCGGTGAGTTCCAGTGGAGTCTGTGGTCTACAGTAGGTGCCCATAAACACCTGTAGCTGGAAGGAACGAGTCTAACCCAAGTCCTTCATTTTACAGTGGAGGCAGAGTTGAAGAGATGTACTTGACCTATAGCTGCTGCCAGGAGACAGGACTAAGAGGGGCTCCTGCTGGGCTCCTCCCCAGGCTAGGCTTTTTCTGCCATTCACTTTGGGAAGGAAGCCCTCCAGGGGCTCACGCTATAGACTCTTCTCAACTAGGTACTCCACCACTGTCCCAGCCACACCCTCCACTCTGGAGGTCTGGTTCCCTCACTGTCTCTCAGAGCCTTCCCACTGCCATTCCACAGTTCCTAGCACTACCACCTGGATACTGTCTGAGGCAGAAAGGGTCTTCAGGATTATCCATCCAGGGGGCCCACAAAAGCCTCAGAAGGTCTTTAACCCCGGAGCTGTGTGTACAACTGTGTGTGTGTGTGTGTGTGTGTGTAGATTTCTGGAGAGAACATCCAGACACCACCTGAATCTCAGTGGTGTCCAAGACCCACATGAGATACAGAACAACTTATCTGTTGAGCTCCTCATTATACAGGTGTTAATATACATAAGGGTCTTACAACCGTACCTGGTACATTTGAAGTGCTCTCTAAGATACGGATTGGCCCACAGCCTGGTTTTGCAAATAAAGTTTTATGGGATCACAGTGACACCTTTGTTTTTGTATTGTCTATGGCTGCTTTCTCACTACAGCTACAAGGGCAGATTTGCAACACGGATGTTAACTGTATAGCTCACAAAGTCCAGGAAGAATGGCTACCATAATTATTCAGGTAAACAGCAGGCCCTAAGCCACACAGCTAGTAATCTGGGGTTTGAATCTATGTCTATTCAAGGATTCAGTAACACACCTCTGTGCTTCTCCACTCACCTTTAACACACAGTGCTCATTCATTCATTCATTCAGCAAGGGTGCAAGGAACCCCTTCTGTGTCCTCCAGGCTGTGAGCTATTGGGGGCAAAGCTTGGGGGGACAGTCAAAGCCGGCCTTATGGCTTTGAAGAATGACTTCACTCTGCCTCCAGGGCCCTTAAGTGACTAGCCCTGTGAACCTTCTTTTTGTCTGTTGAATACACAGATATTCTTCCTACCTCAGGACCTTTGCATGTGCTGGCTTAGCTGGCACTTTCCTTTTTTTTCTTTAAAGATTTTATTTATTTATTTGACAGAGAGAGACACAGCGAGAGAGGGAACACAAGCAGGGGGAGTGGGAGAGGGAGAAGCAGGCTTCCCGTGGAGCAGGGAGCCCGATGCAGGGCTCCATCCCAGG